TCTGACATTTATCCTAACGATATGAGGCGGTCTTTGTGGAAAAAAAGCTTGTTTAGTGGACTAACTTTGCACTTGAAGGTTGCCCGTTCACTTACGTTTTAACAGGTCTGACGCTACTATGCGCCCCGGCTGTATCTAGGCTAACGGCTAACATGCTAACTATTATTTTTATGTCACTAGTCACTTGAAACAAATTTAGGACGATAGGAGACAGGTTGAAATAAACCAAAATTTCCCTTTAAGTCAATAAAAGAGTCTGGCTTTGTATTACCAACGCTATTTAATGACTATAATTTTAATTATCGGAATAATGCATGATAATTTAAATGTCCTGGTATTGGATCACTTTATGACAGTAATCGATTTTCCTAGGATTTTTGTGTCCGAAGACGTTTGATTTATCTGGGTTTTAAGATGCTGAAATAACCAAAAACAAGCAATTCTGTCATCACATACCATGATTGAAAATGTAATCAATTTTGCCTGACAATATGCCAACATGTACGAAGGAATCTCTCAACCCCCCTCCACAGGGAAGCTGTCAGGGATTCAGTTCACAGAGCTACTTTCAGATTAATGCCTCATTTCCACCAAACCCTTTCAGTCCAGTGGAACCAGCAGTAAGCCTTCAGACATGGCACCTAGACCCTTGGTGTGTTCAGACAGTCCTCTTAAATGTGGGCGGGGTTGTTGTCATTCACTGCTCCGTCCAGCACTCGCTGTATTTCCTCATCAGCGGTGACACAGATGGAAGTCTGCACCTGGTTTATCGTCCACAGAACGAGGCTGCACGCCCACATTTTCACAACAAAATAGAACAGGCTGCAGTGAGAGTCTCTCTCCATGGGATATTTAAAAATAGCAGCTTTGTGCATTTAGTCCTTCTCAGGCAAGCTCAGGGGTTTAGTGTTGCTGTAGCCCACAGGAAGTGAGGATTAGAATATATGACCTTCACATAATCCGCTCCAAATTCATCTATATTTTTAAAGTCATTACTAAAAGTGTGTGTCATATAAAAAGTAAAGTGATGGTCAAAGTTGTCACAGTGAAATTTAAGGTGTGCTGATGGATTCACTTCATCAACTCATGCATTGAGTAACATTACAAGTTAACGTTCCACCTTAAAAGTTGCCGGCAGTCGGCCCAGTGAATGAAGTGATTTTTTCTCAGACTCCAGCTGCTGTGAGAGGCAGCAAAACATCCTTTCATTTTATAGTTACAGTTTACTAATAAAACTCTCCACAGTATGAACAGTGGTTACATGAGCCTCAAAACCAGACACAGCTCAGCCCTGAGCAGAGTGACCGTCCTCTACTGACCAATCAGACTGCAGTGTTCACAGCTCCACCTTTTAGTACCAGATCTGTGTGCTAGGTACCCCAACAGAGGGGGGACCAAACATGGGGACGCTAAGGAACGCTTCTGTTGGTACCATCCACAACTTTTCACTGTGGAGACAGAAACAATGTGTACTGAACTGAACTGGACTGCTCGGTGGAAACAGGGCTCAAATGTCCCTCCTCGTCTCTCCGCTGTGATATGACTGTCTTTGTCTCCTCGCCTCATCTAGGCCAGATCCACCAGAGGGAGCAGGAGATCGCGGAGCTGAAGCAGAAGATAGCAGAGGTGATGGCAGTGATGCCCAGCCTGTCCTACTCATCAGATGGCAGCAACCTCAGCCCTGTCACCCCGCACTACTCCTCAAAGTTCATGGACAATAGTCCCTCCTCCCTGGACCCCAACGCCTCAGTCTACCAGCCCCTCAAAAAGTGACTCTGACATCCACACTTTTGTCAGACAGAACTTTGTCTTCTTTCTTTCGGTGAAGCTCTCAGTTCTGGTTTGGGTTATTTTTTGAGTTTACCAGCCCCTGACAGTTTTTGCACTCTAACGTACCACACACAGACACACACAGCGCACACAACCCCTCCATACATATGTGTATTTGGCTTCTTTCTATTTCGGTTCTGTTATCAGAACTATTATTTTGAGCAGGTTGTGAACAATCTGATTCTTTTGTTGTTGGGATTTAGCCATTAGACAGCGTGATCTGTTTGAAGGGGGATAAAGGAACACACACAGTTTGTTGGCCAAATGTCTACTGAAGAGCCGTCATGCTTCGCTTCATGTCAGTCTTCTGTTGGTGTCGGTATATAAATCCCCCCACAGCCATATTTTCTTGTATAGTGAACTGATACACATTTAATTTAAGAACAATTGGCTTTTCATGACTGTTTGGTAGGCGCAGGATGCCCTAAGTTTTCAGTTTAGTTTGAGTCTGAAACTCGCCTGTAAAGTTGAGCCCAGCGAGAGATACATGAATGTAAAACGATTCATGTTTTGCTTAAATCAGTGATTGTTTGTTTTGTAATGTTTCAGTTCAGTTACGACAATGTATGTTTGTTCTAAACTAGTGATACTGAACTGATAAACGCTCGCTGTGTCCTTCAGATATTCCGACCCAGTTCATCCTCTTAGAGAGTAACTTCAGTATTTTTCAGCCTGGACCCTTTTTTCTCATGTTCTTGTGTCTGAGTGACTCATGGCAGCAACAGTTTTGAGACTGGTGCCGTACTTAGTGAGATCACTGCAGGCAGCAGCAGAGAAACAGACTTCGATGTGCAATTGAGCACTGTGAATTTACGTCCGCTGAAAGTGTTTGTTTTTGCCACTGACAGGCTCAGATTGTCACTATCAATGTCTTCACAGACATAGTCCTTGTTGTTGATGAGTAAGATCTCTGTTTTTAAACCAGAAACAGGCTCAAAATCACTGCTGTCAACACCTCCGGACCCCATTTACAAAAACAGTAATTTTATCATCGTAGAACACGCTTGATTCAAAGTCCACAGGAGCAAAATAAAAGTCACACAAGCTGTCCTGGTTCATTTCCCACTGTTTCAACAATCACGAAGTTTGCTTTGGTTGAAATTAACCCTTAAGTCACCCAGTTAGAAGTGAAAATGCACTGACTCTGTACATGCTAAAATTGCTGTTTATGTGAATGGAGTCTGGTGGATTTGGTGATGGTGATTTTGAGGCTGTTTCTGGTTAGACAAAAGGGGATGTATCCCTGTATGGATCATTTTCATAAGTTCTCAGACACTCAAGGCAGATCTATACTTGTGCAGTGGTGTGTCTGTGTCACTCTGCAGTTACACCTCCAAAACACTAGTTGGCGGCAGGGTTTCTGTGAAGTGCTGTAAAGTTTAGTTGATTCAAAACACACATTAAACACACATTAAACATGGCTTAATAGAGACAGTTTCAAACACAAATCAGCTTCACTATAACAAACACTTGTCTTTATCTGGACACATTTTCCCCACAAATACAACATGCTAACGTTATTAGCACAAGCCTATGGCATTTTACATTGTATAAATTAGCCTAGCAGCTAGCAGAGATTTCCTCTGCTCATATGAAGTCAGGATAAATCACACACAAGACTTTAAATTATATTTTACGCCTCACGTTTTGCAACCTGCGCAACTCGTTCTGTGTTATCGAGGCCTTGGTGGACACAAACTGACGGTGCTCAGTTGCCCTAAGTGTTTACATGGCAGTCGTTTTTGCTGCCACCAGCTGCAGCCCTCCTGCTAAACACTGGACCATTTACAAAACTTGTCGGTCCAATTAGTGACTTAGACTCAAAAACACGGCGACATTTGATCCAGGTTGAAAAATAGCAAAGTTGCTCTTTAATGCTGGAATAGTGAAGTCTCCAGGATTATCAGTTGGTGGATGAAGCAGATGGAGTTCTGTCCTAAAATAAATGCTACTGCTAGATTTGGCCTGGCACTGCCAAAACGTTAGCGTCCACCTGTTTGCTGCAGACACCTCTCTTCTCCCTCTGGACCAAATTAGAACCCGTTAGGCCATAATGTTCACTGGATTTAATGATGTCGAGGTAACTGGTCGTTACCGTTATCTGCAGATTTTTCAGTGCCTTGCAGTTTCTCTTTCTAAGATGCAGAAACCACATACTTTGCAATCCTGGGATCTAAAAGCATCAAGCTTCAAAGCTGCGTTTCTCTCTCCAGCTCCGATTCGCCGGGTTTCCATCCGAGATTCTTCCCATTCTGATCGGTATTTATAAAACAAGCCAGTGTCAGCTCAGACATGTTGATCCCAATGTTACAGACTTAAAGGGAAAACATAACACTGGACACAGTACACGTCATTTCATGGTGACACAGTCTTGGTACGCCAAACACCAACCAAACTGATTGTCTATTATCGTGCCGAGAGTCGGCATTTAGTTGTTTACAACAATGTACATTAACCCACTGAGGAATGTTTGTTTATTATTTCATTTCAGTTCTTAAGTGCCAAGTGTTGATGTTCGGTTTCCATCCATCTTTGATCGATGTAGCTAGCGTAATGTTTTCAGAAGAGTGCTGTTATTTTATTTTGTTGTCATTAGAACATATTCAGACGGTGTTGTGTTTACAAGGTTCTGGGCTGATCCCAGCAGCTGCTCAGTTGGACTCATGGTGTTATTCACACGTTTATTTATTTGTTACAGACTTTTATTGAGTGGCACCTCCTAGATATTTCCCATCATTCAGTTGGTTTCCTATGTTCTGTTTTGTTTTCTACCAGGAAGGATTCTGTGAATGTGTTGTGTTGGGAAAAGGTTGCCCCTGAACCATTTGACCATGTCGTGCTGTCATGTTGCCTACTTGGAAAAAAAAAAAAGTATTATTTGTGGATCGCTCTGGTGTTGTGACTTCAGTTCTCAAGTTGCTTTTATAAGTTTGTGTCGAAGGAAGAGAAGGTTTTAAAAAAATAAGTGCTTTGTTTTATCTTTTCATTGCTCCACCATGTTTGTTTTCTTTACTCAAAGTGATGGTGGCTGTGTCACACTTTTTACGTTGGCCATCACTATTAAAGAAAGTCTTGCTGGTGGCAATGCAAGCTGTTCAGTCTGTGTACGCGTCTGCTTCTTCTCTTTATGACACAAGAGGCCAAACGTTTACCCTTCATCTACCACGAGACGATGGCAGTGTGGTGCGTAACATTTGGGACGTCGAAACAAAAAATGCAAGAAGACAAAACTGACATTTATTTGCAAACAAAGTTTCCAATGTAAAAGGGACAGTTCAGTCCATTCTTGTGAACCTGACATCTCAAGAGAGCCTTAAGGGAGTTTCTTCAAATTTGGCACACAAGATGAACTGATTAGAGTTTGGTGGTTAAAGGTCAAAGGTCACTGTGACCTCAAAACGTTTTGGGCCTTACTTAAAAACTCATACACTAATAATGACAGAATTTCACAGAAACATCTAATAGGATAAGATTATGATAATGAAGTGATGACATATCCAAAAGGTCAAAGGTCAGCTTCACTGTGACATCATAGTGTTCTGCATGAAACACTTTTCTGGCCGTTACTCAACATCATATCTCAGGAACAGAAGGGGAAACATAAAGGGTGCTTTCACACTTGGTCTTTTTCAGCCCCCCAAATGGACTCAGAGCAGTGACTCAGCATTTTTTGCCCACATGTGAACACTCCAAGAGAACTCTGACCACCTCCTGAGGTGATCTGTGTGGACACCATTAACAAGGAAAACGAGGCGCACGTTTAGATTCAAAATGTCAGCCAACATCAGGTAATATGTGTTTTTAATCTGGTGGAAGGATGTTTCAGTCAAAGTTGGAACAACAAAGATTTGATGGGTGAAAGTGTGACTTGTATGTCCCAGAACAGTAGCATGGCTCCTCTAACGCTGTCACTGTCGCCCTGACCTCTCTTTGTTTATAGTTTCCTTGACATGTATTGACACTTCTTGCACCAGAGGAAGAGGCTGAATTAGAAGCAGAAAGAAGTTTTTTTAATATTACTTTTTAGGGCTTTTGCCTTTATTACAGAACACCTTAAATTAAAGCGAATGGGGGAGGCATGTAGCAAACGGCTGCAGGCCAGAGTTGAGCCTGTGTCACTGCAGAGGGCTCACCTTGCATGGGGAGCACACTCTACCTGTTGAGCTACAGGTCACCTCTGACCTATAGATGATCAATAATACCCACCACACACTACCCTCATGTCTGTGGTGACCCTTTTTGTTACTCACTGTAGAAGAAGAACTGTAGTGGCAGACTATTTAAAGACACAGCGACATCTGGTGGAATTTTTTTAGCATAACATACCTAAAGTGATGGAGAGGATAGCTCAATCAGGTTAAAGTTCAACACATTTTCTACCCAACAGTTGTTGTTGGAGGGTTAAGTAGTTTATGCCTGAGGTTGCTTTTATTATAATAATGATAATAATAATAAACATGTTATAATAAATGTATAATAATAGATAATAATTATATTATTATTATACAGCAATAAGCAACAAAAGAATAAATTACCCCAAAAAAAATTAAAAAGAGAAAACTAAAAACAAGAAAATTTGTAAAAAAAAAAAAAAAAAAAAAAAAAATTAAAAATAAAAATAAAAGAATGTTAATAAAATAAAACTAACAAGAAAATGACCTGGAAGTAGTGCTTTAATAATGATAACAATGATAACAATGATAATAATAATAATAATAATAATAATAATAATTAATATATAATGATAAATAATAATTATATTATTATTATACAGCAATAAGCAACGAAATAATAAATGACCCAAAAAAAATTAAAAAGAGAAAATTAAAAACAAGATTTGATTTTTTTTTTTTTTTTAAAGAAAAGAATGTTAATTAAAAAAACAAGAAAGTGAACTGGAAATAGTGCTTAAAAATTATAATAAATCTGTAACGTAATTTGTATAAAAAATAAATGATAATAATAGTAATGATAATAATTTAATATTTTACTTTGTCAAAAGCCAAAAATACATAGCTGAAACACTAGGAAACAAATTACAGACCGCGCATGCGTACTGTATAAGCGGAAGCCGTATCTGCGCCAGGCGGAAGCTGTAACGTCCTTTCTGCTCCCGGACTGCCATCATGGTGAGTTCGCCATGAATACTTTAGCATTTCTAAGTCGAATTTCTTTTACATATACTTCATAGTTCTGGGACAACACGAGTCGTGTGTGTTGCTAACACACTTATACACATATTAATGAAGTGTTTTATTGAGACTTGTGAGATTATTATTAGTTTGAACGCGATGTCTGTAAGATGTCGGCTTCTGCCCGCGTTACAACGTGGTCCATCCGGCGGAGAGGGCCGAGGACTGCTCGGTTAACCGAACACATTTACCTTGTTTGGTTCCCAGAATACTCATTAAATAAATATCACGCGCTTACTATGTTGATTTATTTAAATACATTTATACCTACATGTTGAGCAAGGTCCCGTTTTGTGAACGGAGCAGAAGTCGTTAGCAGAAACATTAGCAAATAGCTAGTTAGCATTAGCTTGGTGAGACGGGTGCTATAGGTCTGGTAACGTTAGTTCCTCAGCCTCCTAGCTAACCTGTAGAGTTGACTATGTGTTATATAGCCTGTATGTTGTGTTGTGTGTCGGTAGATATATTATCACAGAGGTGGTGCTGTGCCCAACTGTCAGAGTACAGGCAGACATGTCTGATGTTTGGCTCTCCGCTGTCTCTCTCAGGTGTTCAAACGCTTCGTTGAGATCGGCCGTGTCGCCTACGTCTCTTTCGGACCCCATGCAGGCAAGCTGGTGGCCATCGTAGATGTCATCGACCAGAACAGGGTGAGCACTCTGGAGCACAATGTATTGATCAGTGTTGGCTTCACTCTGTGTGACGTGACCTGTTCATACTGATTGTTTCATGTGCTTCTCAGGCTCTTGTTGATGGACCCTGCACAGGCGTGAAGAGGCAGTCCATGCCCTTCAAGTGCATGCAGCTCACAGACTACGTCATCAAAGTACCCCACAGGTGAGTATGATCTGATGGAGATCACCTCTCTTGTTCTGGTCCATTTTTGAAAACCAGCACCCACTCGTGCCCGTAAAGCTCAGTACCAGAACCAACCTGTCACCCGTCATTATGTAAAATAAACTATATTGTCCCCAAAGGGAAATTGGTCTTGGGCACAGTGCTATATTTCATTGCTTCACAACACAAGATTAAAACATCTTCACAGGGAATCTAAGTCAAAGCCACTTTTTTGCCCTTAGCTGTGACTTTACATATTTAAGCAGGTCAGAGTCGGTGCGGATTTATAATACTGTCTCACCGGCGACAATACAACATGACCAACCACATTGTGCGATAAAATATGAGGTCATCTGCGACATAGCTAAATT